AATAAAAGTCGGTAGGAAGACTAAAGTTAAATATACTCATTAATAACCCTGAGTCATTAAAAAGTTAAATAATATTATTCATATTTTGTTTACTAAGATAGGATTGTATATAACATTTCCTGGCATTAAAAATGTTTGTAAATCTTTAATGTTTAAAAGAAGTAGTTTTTCCCAGCCAGGCGTGGCTCAGCGGTTGAGCGTCGACCTAGGATCCAGGCAATCAGGATTTGATTCCCGGTCAGGGCACAGGCCCGGGTTGCGGGCTCGATCCCCAGTCGGGGGCGTGCAGGAGGCAGCCGATCAATGACTCTCTCATCATTGATGTTTCTGTCTCTCTCTCTCTCCCTTTCCTTTCCTCTCTCTAAAATCAGTAAAGATATATTTTTTTAAAAATAAAAAATAAATAAATAAAAGAAATAGTTTTAATTATCTTGGAAATATATTTTCTGGAAAACTTCACTACGATGATATGTAAATGAAGTGGAAGGGTTTGAAAACAGCTATACTTGGAAAGCATTTTAGAGAAAGTACAGAGAGAATACAGCAATGAAGCTTTGGAGGTATAAGAAAAGGGATTTAGAGAGAAGCTTGGAGAAAAGTTCTCCTGTTTAAAAATTCAAGCCTGACTGAAATAGCTCAATGCACTGTGGAAATTTGTCATTATTTTATATAACAAAATAGTCAGAACTATCTTATTGTTTAAATCAAACAGTACCTTGAATCAATATTGTGTGTTCATTTATGTGTATAAAAGAGTAAAGTGCTGATTCATGCTACAATGTGGATAAGCCTTGAAAACATAATGCTAAGTGAAAGAAGCCAGATATTGTAAGATTCCATTTTTACAAAATGTCAGAAATATTTTTGTGAAATGTCCAGAATAGGCAAATCCAGTGAGATAGAAAATAGATTGGTGGTTTCCAGGAGATGGGTAGAGGGGGCATTTGGAAGTAACTGCTAATGTGTACCGGGCTTGTTTTTGAAGTGATGGAAATGTAGGATTCAATGGAATAGTTTGATTGTTGCAAGCCACTGTGAAAATATTAAATGACACTGGATTGTACACTTCAAAATGGTTAAGTATTTTTTTCTCCTTCCATCACCATTTATCCTCCTTTACCCTCTTCTACATCCCCCAGCCCCTTTTTCCCTCTAGTAATCACCATAGTATAGCCTGTGTCTATGCATTATTTTTTTCCAAATGATTAAATAAATCTTATGTAATGTGTATTTTGCCATTAGATTAAAATGTGGGAAAATGCAGACTAACACAGAAGTTACCACAATGAATAATAAAGTAATTAAGTTGTTTTATGAAATTAACACCAAAAAAACAATTATAGTAATAAAATTATAAATATATGACTCTCTTCATTTGTAAAACCCACTAAACTCTACATTACAAAAAAATAAACTTTAATGTATTCAAACAACAAAATAAAGGAACTAACCTAAGTAACCTTAAAAAATGATGTTTTAACTTCAAATTATGAAGCCATAGAAAAAAGCAACCATACATAAGCACTGTACCTTAGTTGGTAAATTTGTTTCTCATGTTAGTAGAGGTTAACAATTCTGAAACCACCTCACATATATAATGAAGCTGAACAAATAAGTAAATAGATAGTGGACTGTTAGAGCTAGGATTTTCTCTGTTGGAAAGGCAAGTAAAAGATTAACAACAAAAAGTTAGCTAAAATGGACCCTATGACGCTGAATTACAGTGGAAGACAGTATGAAGGGTTATTTTTATACACACACAAACACACATATATACACACACACAAAAATGGATGGATTTGTATACATGTTACCTAGTTTTGTCTGCTGAGAGAGCCTAGAAGTAATGACACGCCAGTAGCAACAAACATACCCATGCCCACATCTTGGTTTATAAACACCATTTTCCAATAAAGGGAACCACAGCTCCTTGTTGAAATGGATGATACTGTGGCAGGGTTAATATAACATGAGCCAGGAGCATCTTATGGTTCCAGAAAATAATGAAGTGCTTAAAAAAAAACCCAAAAGGATGAAATATCAAAGGGACACAGGAACCAACCTGAAAGAACTCCCAATGGCCAAATTGGAACAATTGGAACAACAAAATAAACATAGTGTTAGTTTATACTTTAACATATAAACTAATAATAGACGATTAGTCTATACCAATATAAGTCAGTGACTGATTAAATAAATGGTTAAAAAGGAACAAATCTTTCCTAAAGAAAAACTCTAAATTTTATGTGTAAATACTGCCCACTACAGGAGATGGAGTTTAATTTTTGCTGTCCCCTTACTTGGGTGGGCTAGACTTAGTGACCTGGCTGCCAAAGAATAAAGACAGGTGAAAACAGTAACTATATAGTAGAGAAACCTGGCCAATACTACCTTAATCAAGTGATAAAAGTTCACCATGATGTCATGTGGATCCAATGTACCCGATATAATGTGACAAGAAGGGCACTTCAGCTCTGGTATATGTATATTATTTCAAAAACCTCTAACCTTAGACTAATCACAACAAAAACAATAAGTATAGACTAGTAAACATTCTACAGGATACTTGAACAGTACACCTTAACATTGACAAGATAATGAAAAAGAAAGAAAGACTGAGAAGCTGCCATAGACCAGATGAGACTGTGGAGATATGACAATTAAATGCAATGTGATCGGATCCTAGAACAGGATGTGGGCATTAATAGAAAAACTGGTGAAATTCAAATATAGTTTGGAGTTTAGTTAACAATGTACCAACCAACAATGTATCAATTTCTTAGTTTTGACAAGACTACCAAAGCAATGTAAGGTATTAGCAGGGGATCTAGGTGCAGGATATACAGAAGCTTCTTTACTATCATTTCCACTTTTCTGTAAACAAAAAATTATTCCAAAATAAAAAGTTTTTTTAAATGTCATTAAATAATTTACATGGAATAACAAATGTTACCCTTCATGTTAGGATCTTTAATTTCTTTTTTATTTCCTCATGAACAATTCAATACACTAAGAACTGGAAATGACTGCTTTAAATTGTTCCAAGGAAACCTCATGAAGAATATGCTGCAATACTATTCACTAGCTTATCACTCTCTGACAATACAACCACTTCAGGACTTTTAGAAAACTTTTTTTTTTTTTTAATCCTCACCCAAGGATATTTTTTCCATTGCTTTTCAGATATAGTGGAAGGGAGAGAGAGAGAAACATGGACATGAGAGAGACACATCGGTTCGTTGCCTCCCACACATGCCTGGACCCTACACCAGGGACTGAGCCTGCAACCGAGGTGTGTGCCCTTGGCTAGAATCGAACCCGGGACCCTTCAGTCCTCAGGCCGATGCTCTAACCACTGAGCAACCAGCTAGGGCATGGCTTATTTCAGAGGTGTGTTAACCTCAATGAACAGAAACAATGCATAGGGCTTGCTTAAGGCAAAGAAACCTTTTATGAAAAAGTTATATGCCTGGGGTGTGACTATGCACCATGACTTGCCCAGTTAGGAATTTATGACCAGAACACCCTGTGAGGTTGCTTTCCATAGAACCCCCTTTTTTTCCATCCACACAATAGTTGTTGAGAAATACTTTTGTTATTATTATTTTTTTTTTTTTTACCATAATTTATGTAACAAATACCTGAGTATAGTATCTAATTGGTGAAACTATCTTTTTATACTTTTGGATGACATTTAAGTAACTTATTAAGGTTACTTAAAAAAAAAATCTTAGTATCCCAGATGAGAAGTTTTAGCTTTAGGGTTTTGGATCATGTCCCTGAGCTGTGCCCATACCAAAGTGTTTGTCCTGGGAATGCAGGGCATCTCTAACCAGGCCCTGCAGGGCACTCTGTGCAAAATTATGNTGGGACCCAAACTAGCTAGGGCTAGACAACTGTTTTAATCATGAGAAGATAACTGAATTATCAGACCTTAGATTTACAATGGTAAAGTTACTTTGGTACATGTGAATTACATCATCATCTAAAAAAGAGGCAAAAGGGTACAAATTTCCAGTTACAAGATGAATACGAAGAATAAGCTCTGAGGATCTAAATGTATAACACAGTGACTGTATTATATAACTGAAATTTGCTTAGAACTTATTCTCACAATAAAAGGAAATATGTGAGGTGGTAGATGTGTAGCTCAAAGGGGGAATCCTTGCACAATATATATCAAATCATCTTGTTGTACACTTTAAGTATCTTACAATTTAATTTGTCAATTATACCTCAATAAAGCTGAAAAAATTAAAAAGTAAAGTAAATAAAAAAGAGGGAAAGCCATGGATTCTAAAGAACACTGTTATTTTTTGGAGTGAAAATTAGACTTTCTCAACAAACATCTAAAGCCTCAATAGTGTGTTAAAGTAATTAGATATGACAAGATGAAGATTGAAAGGAACAGTTATAGATACAAATTATTATTTAAAAGTAATTAATTTTGTGGACAGTACAATTTGCTGCTTCTCCAAGTGGCAAAAAAAAAGTCAAGTATTTGGATCTCACATCATGAGGATTACTGTCGTAAGGATCAACAGTATTGCAAATATTAACCTTCCATAGTGATGACTCTTTAAAAGAGAAAAAAAAAAACATATAGCAGTTCTTCTAATGACATAAAGCTGGGAAAGAAACTTAAGAACTATTTTCAGAGTATAGAGAGAGCTCTTATTACCATCTAATATTCAGACAGTTGGAAACATCTGCAATTGTGACAAAAGCACGTGACCCATCTTTAATTGTTTACAAGGTCTCCCCTAAAAACCTCAAAGACTTCTAGACTCAGCACATGCATTCTGAACAGCTGGCAACATTAAGGGTGATTTCATTTTCATGAAATTATACCAAAAAAAACAAAAAGAAGGCAAAAAACTGAAGAATAAATGAAACAAAACCAGCTACTTAGTAGTTGTTCAATTAGTATTGTTAATTAAAACATAAAGCACAATTTTATTCAACTTGCTTCTCTCTCTCAGTGCCTGTTAATATCTTACCTGGATCAACCAAAGCTTTGTTAAATATTTCTTTAAGTTTCCTACTCTTCACATTCCTTCCTTGAGCAAGATTTCTGTACATCTCATAGCCTATGATCATAACACCACCATCCTCCTGCCACCTCTGAAGCATGTAGCTTCTCTCCTGAGGACGTTTCACAGTCGCTAATTCAGAGACCTTTTGTGGGAAAACAGAGATTTTTAAAAGTAGGTATTAGTAATGTATGAATACCAAACATCCCCACTGAAATATGCATCACTGGTAATGAAAAATCTTTTTTACTGTACTAATTTCATGCAGTTATTTTAATAATAAAAATATTAAAATATGATACCTCAAGCTTCTCATCATCTTTTAGTCCCTCTTGCCACTTCTCAAATTCATTCATCCAATTCAAAGCAGTATTAAGAGGACAAACCACCAAAGCTGTACTGAAATCCAATTTCTCACACAAAAGAACTGTATGAAGAAAACTAACCACCTACAAGAAAACAAATGAACTTGCCACCTTCATTTCAATATCCACAAAAAGTTAATAAATCAAGCAATCTTTCAATTCAATAGTTGGGTTGTGTGTGTGTTTTGTTCTTTGTTTTTTGTGTTTTTTTGCTTTAAACAATAAAGCAGCCAACCAAAGCTCACAATTTCCAAACCAGACAAAAACCAGGGGAAGAGATATCCTATGTAAAAAGAGGGAGTTCAACTAGATGATTTATAAGAACCTTCCAACTATAAAGCTCAATGATCCTTTGATCAATAATAATAATATGAATATAAGAAATAACCACACTAAGACAGCTACTAAGTTCCTCACCTCCACAGAATGTCCCTACAACTTTTCAGAAAATACCACAGCCTATTTAAGATAATTGTGTTATAGAGTACGTTTCCATTTTTAAGTGTTCTGAATCTATAATAATTATCTTATGGTTTAAAATTACACATATATTCATTAATTTCACACTTCTGCTACAATTCCTGACATTCAGAAATGTAATACTTTAATAGTGAAAAATGTTTTATGTTCTCATTACTACAGGATGATAGACTGTCAAAAAGTTGTAAAGAAAGTTTATTTCTACCTCAGATTCTTTGCAGATTTTACTGGCTATGCCTGTAACCCTGTTCCTTCACTTCATTAGGATCTCTGCTCAAATGTCACCTCCTAAAAGATGCTTTCCTCTTCTATTCTCCCTTAACACTTATTATCTGAAAATACATCTTATTTTATTTGATTAAAATCTCTCTCCACCACCAGAATATAAGCTTCTCGGGGGAGAGATCTTTTTATTCCTGTTCAATGCTTTATCTCCAGCCCTTATAAGTGTGTCTGAAACATAAGAGAATCCTATATTCTTATATTAATAAATGTGCAAGAATAAATACCTTCATGTTCGTACCTGTAAAGTCTTACCAAGGCCCATGCAGTGGGCGAGAATACATCCTGAACCTGGAGATTTCTTTGTTTTTTTAACAGACTCACAGCAGCAATCCCACATAAACTGAACACCTAAAAATAACAGCTTCATTAAGTTCAATTTAAAGGCCCAAGCTAAAAATCTTCCTTCATAAACATATCAAAAACATTAAAAAATATACAGGAAATAGAATTTTAAAAAACAAAAAAGAATTTCTTAAATGTAAATGAGGATCCCCCCAATCCCAACTCCCATTAAGTAGAAAAAAGACAGTGAAAACAAGCACACAACAAGGTGATTTTCTTTCATTCACCTTCTCTAACCTATCACAGCAGACCTTCTCCATTCCCTGAGATTGTCCAAAGAGACATAGGAGTAATCTAAAATAGAAACTTTATCCAAAAAAAAACCAAATTTCTATCAAATATACTTTCAGGTTTATTGGGTAAATCAATAAAACAACAGGAGATAATTTATCATTTCTCCCTTTATTCATTAGTAAAGACTAAACAAGAAAGGGGGCTGACTACCCAAGGAGTAGCAACTGTAGAACTTCCCTTATAAATTCATTTACATACACACTCAAAACTGACTTACTGATTCCACTCTAACAAAGCAGAGGACAGGGATAATTTGTTATCTTTCTAATATCAATATAGAAAAATTATTAACAAATGTACCTCAAAATGTTGAAATAGCATTGCCTGACAAAGGTTTTTAGCTAACTGTAACTCTCCCTACCACACAGCTGACCTTAATCAACCACTGCAGACTAGGTGAGATTCACTTTCCATATATACCCATTTGTAAGTGGCACTTACATCCCCTTTTGTAACACTTATTATCACTGCAATCATTCAATTTTGTTCTTCCTCATTTGCTTATATGCTCCATAAGGGCATGGATCATGTTTGTTTTGCTCAACAATGTACCTCCAGTGCTTAGCAGAATATGAGGCACACAGAAGACGCCAAATATTAGTAAAACTTGATTTTAAATGCTTTAATCATCAACAGTTTCTTACCATCTACTTGATGGGGTTTCAATTTGATAACCATATTTCTATGAACCTGCACTAACGGTTCTTTGGTTTCTTCATCTTCATCTAAAACCAGCTTGGTTGTTATTGGACACTTGGTGGGTGAAGCATCTTCAATTTCTATCACCTACAAGAAAGGGAATTATAGTTAAGCTCATAGAAACCTTGCAAACAAGGGTGGAGTATTACTCTTACTAAAAGAAATTGTTCAAAATATAAACATATCTACCTCCAAATCACACATCCAATATTTTGGCTTAATAAGACCAAGACAGATCGCAAGCTTACATGTTTTCCAAAGTCAAAAGCCTCCACAAGACTTTGAATTTCTATGGCAATGTCAGTAATTTAGCTCATCAGTTCTCACCCTGGATATCTCATAGGTAGAACTGTGAGAAAAGAAGTGCTCTAAACTAATATATGGCGCCACCGCTAAAATCTGAATAGACACGTGGCTCCCAGACAGGGATGATTCTATTCCTCCAAAGGACATTTGAAAACGTACAAGGGCACTTATGGTTGTCACAATGACTAGCCAGGACTGGTATTTAATGTAGGTGGAGGGGAAGGTAAGCATAAATGGTCCACAATGTGAAAGGCTGTCCCAAACAAGAACTGTCCAACCCAAGATGCCAAAGCATTCTCACTGAAAAGTATTGTGAAAGGAAAAAAAGAATTAAAAACACTGGTTTGAAAGCCATACACTCGCCCAACCGGGTGTGGCTCAGCGGTTGAGCATCAACCTAGGATCCAGGCGATCGGGGTTCGATTCCTGGTCAGGGCACATGCCCGGGTTGCGGGCTCAATCCCCAATGACTCTCTCATCACTGATGTTTCTGTCTGTCTCTCTCTCTCCTTTCCTCTCTTGAAATCAATAAAGATATATTTTTTTTAAAAAAAGAAAGTCACACACTCAAAAGTATGACAACAACCTATAATACCCTCTAATTGCAAAGAATAACAGTAAGCTCGAGCTATTTAGACACGAATACACATGAACATGTGTGCATAAATTTTTTTGCTGTCTTATCCCAATGTCTAGCCATTACACAGTATACTCAAGAACTGTATAAAGTACATACAAATATTCCCATTTTACAAATTAAAAACAACTAAGGAAGAAAGAAGTTAAATAACTCATACAAGGTCATACAACTATTAAGTATCACAACACTAAGATTTATACCCAGAGGGTAGAGTTCTAGAGTCCATGCTCTGAATCACTATGCAATACTACTTTAATAAAGGAAATGCTTGTTTAAACAGTTTTATGGTTCCATGAAAATCAATATAAATTCATGATTTTAAAATTACATGCATTATGATGTTTAAGAAATAAAATTTCCTCAGTATTTTTCTTATTTAGAACTGTAAATATGAAGGAATGGATTATTTAATATTAACTATACAAATTTTCCTAATGTAAAAATAGACAGCATAGTATAATGAACCCAATTACCTATTACCAGCTTCAGAAATTATCAACTTCTGGCCAGTTTTGTTTCACTAACAACCTCTCATCTAATCTCCAACTCCTCAGATTCCACAAATAATTCTGAAGCAAACTTGAGAAAGTATGTCATTTCATCTATAAATGTCTTAGAATAACTCTTAAAAGGATACACTCTATTTTTAAAACCATAACTACAGTAACATTATCACATGGAAAAAAATTTAAAATGTCACAAATTTGTAATAAATTACCTGACTAGATATTGCATTTACATAAAACTATAAATTATATACAAATCAAGATTAATACTAGGACAGAGTGTGGTTGAGTACAAATAGCACAGGCCATTTATATCCCAAACTCTATTTCAACGAGTTACTTATACTCAGTTTCTCCATCTGAAAAATGGGAATTATAAACAGCCCTCACGGGTTATTGTATAAATTAAATAAGGAGATGAATGCAATGTATCTGGCATAGACTAAGTATCCGTTAAATTTTTATTGTGTCCTAGCTTCATATCACTGAGGCAAAGCCATTAGTCAAAATGGAAAATTCCCTGAATGTCTTCTTTTCAAGGTGTGGTGGGTACAATCATAAACCAAGCCCCAATATTGATATCCTCTGGTGTAAACACCCCATATAATCCTATCCTTCTGACTGACGTGTAAGAGAGGTTGTCTTACTGGCTGGTCTCAAAGATAATCAAACCACATTCTGCCAACAAGTGAGGTGGGAAAGGAAACAGTCTTACATGAAAATTGCAGTTCTGGCTAACACTTTAATATCAACTTAGTGAGACACTGAGCAGATGACCCAGTAGAGCTAAGCTAAGCCACTCTCAAATTCCTGAACTAATACATGCCCTGGCTGGGTAGTTCAGTTGGTTGGAGTGTCATCCCATACACCAAAAGGTTGCGGGTTTGGTTCCCGGTTAGGGCACATACATAGGTTGCGGGTTTCATCCCCAGTCAGGGCATATACAGGAGGGAACCAATCGATGTTTCTCTTTTTTTTCTCTCTCTCTCTCTCTCTCTCTCTCTCTCTCTCTCTCTCTCTCTCTCCCCTTCCTTCCCTCTCTCCTTCCCTCCCTCTCTCCTTCCCTCCCTCTCTCCTTCCCTCCCTCCCTCCCCCTCTC